GTTAATTTTCAACCGACGCTGAGACTCCATTCCGGTGGCATGGGCCACACTCACCTCCACCACGAAAGGCTTGAAAAGCTTGAAAGCTGAAATTTTGAGGTCATATCTCCCGTTCACACAGAATTCAAAGGTTTCAAATTCAACACCCAGGTATGAGTGGTTTCCGAGTATGGCCCCATAAGGGTTCCTGACGGGAAAATCGCTAACTTGGAAACCAGGAAAATTGGGAGGCTGAAATTTTAAGGGGAGATTCACAATCGATGAACGACTTTAAGATTTTATATTCAGTCCCCAGGTATGCCCCCGGTCACGTACAGCCCCGTGAGAGTTTTGGCGGGAAAACTGGTAACAAAAGAGCCAAAAAAGCTGGAAAGTTGAAATTTTAACAGAATGTTCCCTATCCAAGTACCACGTAGTTGCGCAATTAACTTCCCGAGCTTCGAATACGAATATGTTACAAATTCTAGCTACTGAGTTCCCGAGCGATCTTTCAACAGCGCGAAATACTGCAAAAACGCATGATCGCACCGGTCCGCCTGGTGCGCTTCGCCAAAAAATTGAAATGGGACGATGGCAAATGGGATGGTAGTGTGTCCCTAAAATTTGCTAGCCTTTTGGTTGTTGAGTGAAAAGTGGGTGACAATGTTCGTTCGCCTCAGAAAGCACGCATGGATAGATTCTCGGCAGTAGACGTTTCTTCATTTGCATGATATGCCAAAAGACATAAAAAGCTAAAATCAGTTCGCACACATGAAATTTGATGGTCGTACAAAACCGATGTATTTTGACCAGTTTTAATCTTCTTTTCACTCAAGCTTTTATTTTAAGAAAAATCTAGTTACTCTTAAATCTCCAAATCGGCCAGTAACTTACCGAATGATCGTGGCTGTGCGGAATGTGTTTCGCTACCACTTCCTGATTTGTTACACTCTTCATAAACTTGTTTACCACGAACATTTTTACGTACGCTAACACATTTAATATACGCTCCCAGTAACTCATCACATCGCCACTGGTACCATATATTGCTAAAAATGACTGAGTTCACCTACAGGCGATCAAAGACTGGCAGAAATAAATTTTCGACAGGATACTTCGTAAATTTATGGATGCGTCTCTGTAGCGGAAATGCATCAGATACTGTGAGAAACCGGCAGAAATTGGCAATTACAGAGACTACGGCTCGGCTCGGCCGACGTCATACACGATCAGCAAAAAATATTTCCTGCCGCCGGCTGGTAGGCTGCTCTACGGCTAACAGCGGATGTTTGATTGTGGCAGGCGGAAGTGGGGTTAGTATGTAACGGGTTTCGTTCGAGGCAGAGGAAGGGGCTGGGTTAGACCGGTCTGAGGACTAAATGGCGTAGGTCTTTTGTCGGTTGGCTAGGTAACGTACATTTGGAGGGGAGAGGAGGATCAGTGAGGAATGGAAAGAATGAGGAAAGTGTGCTCTCTGATTTTTACCGTAGATACTTGTGCAGGAATGGTGAAATGCTGCTTGTTCGCACAGTGCTGTTATCCTAGGAATGGAGAGGGGTCTTGATGTTAACTGCGGACAGAATTTGACGACAGGATAGAGAAGGGGAACGAGGATACAATTCAAAAGTTCGAGGCAGGAAATAGAGAAAGCAGTAAAGAGTAAAAGACAACACAGCGTCACAAATAAAAGTAAATTAAACCAAATTTGACTCTATGAATAAAAGCAAAAGAAACAGCAGTTTTGCTAACAGAAACTATTTCATAGAAATCCGTCATCAGTAGAAAACCTTCCTGTTTATGAAACTGATGCTTAGATAAAGCTGAGGGCGAATAAATTCTATAAAGTGAGAAAAAACAGGGTTGACTGGATGCACAAGGATGAAGACAGCCTTTGTTTCTGTGAGATTCTTAAGGCATAAAAACAGAGGTATAGTTGAAGGCTGTGGAGACAACACTATGGAATTGTGTGGAATTTTTGTGTAAATTCAGTCGAACTTATTTGCACTCAGCTTCACTTAAGCAAGCTTCACAGATGCGGGAACTGCTTATTGAAGACGGGTTTTTGTAAGATAATTCCCACCCTCATAAACTCAGTTTTTGTTTCCTTTTGCTTTTTTTGCTTTTATTCACTAGTTCAAGTTTGTTTTAACTTGCTTTTCTTTGTAGTGCTGTACTGGTTTATTCTCCTCTCGAACTGCTCTCTGCAGTTCTTGCCTCGAACTCCTGACTAGCACCCTTGTTCCCCTCCTCATTCCTGTCCTCAATCCCTGCCTCCAGAACCGCACCGGAGCACTCATCACTCACCATTCCCAACCACTGTCACCATTTATCGTCCTCAACTCCTGACCAGCATTTTCACTCCCCTCCATTATCCTGGCCCCAACCATGCACCTCGAGCTGTATCTGGGCACCTACCAACCAACACCTCCCTAACCGCATCCAACTCCCCCGTCCCCCATCAACCAGTCCCAATCACCAGATCTAGCCACCAAGCACTGAGTAGCGCTACCCGGCACGCCTGGCAAAGTGTCAAACGGTCTCGGCTAGCGGCGTCGCCAAATAGCTTTGGCAGAGATGCTACAGTCGACTACCAGCCGAATACCACCGACTATCAGCCGAATCGTGCCGAGTTTCTGTAACTGCCTAAAAACTCGCATGCGCTGGATGTGATAACAGCCAGCCACCACAAGAGTGTGTGTTTGTGTCAATGTATTCGGCAAGGATGCGAAGGAATCCAGTTCTCTACGGGCCCACTTTTTTGCAAAGGAGACCGTTAGCGAAATACTGTGCCTTCGCTTCCTCTATCGAACCAATTAGGAATACTCTTAACATTTAATTAAAAGTGTTCAGGCGGTAAGTGGAAATTCTAGAAACACGCAACCATTCAGCTTGCTGCAAGCACTAGTTTTCACTGTGAAAGAAAATTTGTGACGTAATCTGATAGTATTATAAAATGCGAATCTGTCTGAAACGATCAAGATATGCTGCTAACCGGGCACCCAGCTTGGATTACTGCTCACGCCCAATGGGTCCGAAAGCACTTCGCAAAGATCTGTTGCAAACGCAGTGGCATAGTTCTTGAGTCCAATTCTGCTGAAGACAGCGTAACCACAGGGACCGAATATTTCGGTGATACCGAAATCGAAATGCTCCGCCTCTAGTAGCGCCATGGATGTCTGATCACCAACCTGAACTAAAAATTTATTCTTCCACACCAGTTTTTTAAGTGCGCATCACAAATGACTTTGGGGATAAAGCGTGGGATGCTGGATAGCTGACACCAAAATCAGTATCAGTAGTCTCAATATCAGTAATTGTTATTAGTAGTTAAAACCAGTGGTCTGTTGAAAAGAATTCTGAGTGTTCTTCTTTCATTTTGTCGTGATTTATGCGTCTGAGTTAGTTAGTAAAAAATTAATTCATCAAATAATTTGAAGTGTATATTTCGAAGCAGCCCGGGATTAAAGGATCCGGGACAGCTGCACTCAGCGCACAAGAACTTCCCAGTAGCATCACTAACATCACCCAGTAATTTTATTATCGCTAATTTGGAATACTAACATTGATAACCCTGGCGGTTTGGTCATTGTACTTTTAGCATATTTTGAAATCGCTGTTAAAAATTCCTGGCCAGTATTTGTAATTGAGAAAAAAGCAAGTTTTTAGTTGCCTGCGTAAAGCGGAGTAAAAATAGTCCGAAATTAGCTTAGGAATCTAAAAATCTATAGGATTCTATAGGAATTTATAGGATTTTACCTGAATCTAAAAATTTTGTGGCGACTTCATGTGTTGAACTAATTAAAAGCAAATAGTGTTCCATTCTCCAGTATGACTAATTGAAAAAGGTATATATCTTCTCCTTCAGAATTTCTTGCAGTCAGCTCAGATTATTGAAATGCTTTTCCAGAAATTTAGGAGTTGTGGACATGACCCGTCCCACTGGAAGTTTTCAATAAAGGCATTCGTCTGCGCTGAACACTTCCCATTAAGAGTTTCGCAATAAAACAACAGCCTTCAATGGCTGGTTTGCTATTATTAGTTCACTAAAAATATATGAATTGAATGAAACAACGAAACTTACTGGCACAGGATTCTACAAGTTGTTGTCCAAAGGAGTTGAACATCTGAAATTAATTTTTATAGCACGAATTCAATAGTGCGCATCAGCTTTTCCTGTTTATTCAGGAACTCGAAATTTTTCATTCTTATTTAGTTGTACTTGTGAGTGACGCAGCTGCTATTCACAACGCTGTTATCAACAGCAAATGTCACTGGTATAATTGCTGTTGATTCCTTTCCACTTAACTACTGGAAAATCAAATTCAGGCTCTACCAATTTACATCTGGAAAAATTCGCTGGGCGACTAATCACTTTCTAATGTCGAGAAATTAAGTATTTCACGAAGAGAGCTCTAGTGACTGATCGCTTGGTGTCCCAGCAGTTAGAATTTATGGTACACTGGTTCTTGATGTTCGGGAAATTAATTGTGTAGCTACACGATACTTGGTAAAGGAAAAACCCCTCAAAATTTTAGCTTCCTCTCCTTTCTGATGCTCGAGTTCGCAGTTTTCTCGATAAAAATTTTCGGGGGTCCATATGTGAGAACTACAACCTCGGGGCTGAATTTGAAAACTCTAAGTTGTACGCGTGCTGAGAATATCCCCTTAAAATTCTCGCTTCCCATCTTTTCTGCTCCCCGAGCTAGCGATTTTTCTGCCAGAAACCTTCACGGGGCTCTACGTGAGGACCACGGCTGAATTTGAACTTGAAATCTTTGGGTTCTGTGTGACAAGGAAAATAACTGCAAAATTTCAGCTTCTTAACTTTTTGGTTTCCTAGTTAGCGATTTTCCCGCCAAAGCCTTCACACACTCGCACGTGGGGCTTAGTCGTGCGTGAGTGTTGATGTCGCGGTTCTGAGGTGGCACTTGGCCGGCGACAACTGCCAAAATTTTGGAGCTTGTTTGGTTGCCGAGTTGAAATACTCGGACAAACAAACAGCTACACACACACACACATATCAGGGTCGTCACAATATGCGTTTTTGCGCTTTAGTATATATGCAAAAACGCGTAACAACCTAATACAGTTTTTATGCGTTTTTGTTTATTATGCAAATGAAAAATGCATGCTGGCAAGAGACTGGTGTATGTGTGTATGTGTATGCGTCTGCGTGTCTGTGTGTTTGCATTTGTCACCCATAACCCGAAAATCAGAAAAGCTAGAAAACTGAATTTTCAGGAATGTTCCTCGTTCATATGCGTTTTTGCTGTGCGGCGCTATGGCGCTGCTACAATGAGCAAAAACGTATGTTATCGGGAGACCGCCTGTTCGTGTGTCTATGCATTTTTTTGGCAGCGAATGACGTATGTTATCCACTTTTAACTCAGCAACTAGGGAAGCTGGAAAGCTTGAAGTATGAGCGCATATTCCTACCCATGTGTCACCCTGCAGTTTTAAGATCGTCGTTCACATGCGCCTAGATCTCGTGCACGGATCCCAAAAAAAATGTGCAGATTTCTTTTGGTGAGAAACGATTTCGTAAACCAGACAAATAGAAAGCTAAGACTTTGTAGGAATGCTCTTAGTTCATGTATAAGCTAAAAATTTCAAATTCAGATATCGCGAGCGCTTGTGCCGCTATCTGGCCACGTGAAATTTCGAAGGTGGCACTGTGTCGACTCGAAAACTAGCCAGAAAACAGCAACTGAAATTCTGTCAGAATATTTGCCGCTCCTGTAGAAAATCGTGTACTTAAACTGAATTTCGGTTTTCACTTGCGTCGCGATTTTAGGCACTTCAAATATATTTGTAGCGAAGTTGCTATTTTGCTTATCGGACAAGCTGTGACGCGAGATCATAACGGCAAGCTTGGTGCGTTGCAGCCTGAGCTAATATTACCATTCACGTACGCCTAGGTTCTACACAAAATACGCAAATTTTTTGACGAGAAAACGATCTCGGGAACCAGATAAGATAGGGAGCTGAAGCTCTGCAAGGATATTCTTCGTGCATTTTTAAACTAAACATTTCAAATCTAGCTATCGCGCTCTATTACACTTTTTGCACGGTCATCTCAGATTTAGTATTCGGCGTCTTGCCAACTTGGCAACTAGCGGCGAAAGAGCAACTGAAATTTGTCAGAATATTTATCGCTCATTTAGGAAACAATATGTTTGAACAGAGTTTCGCACTGCGCTTGGGCACGTCAAGGGGGCGTTAAACACATTTGTAACGAAGAGGTGATTTCCCTTGGCGAGCAAGTTGCGATACTGAAAATTTGCAAAAACACTCTATATTCATGTGTGGACTTATTCAGCTCGGAGGCGAAATCTGCTGCATGCGGGCATGACAGATACTCAATTTTACCACAAATTTAGAAGCGAATGTATTTTGCGGATTTCGTAGTCCTTTTCTTACTTTATCCTAAGCACTGCCAAATTTGCATTTTCCGATGAACGACCTGTCACCGGAAAAAACGACCAGGCTTCATGCAAAAATGGAAGTTATGCAGGCTTAAAGTTCACGATGTGATACAACACTACATCCAGGCAGACGCCCTTTTCCTCCTCTGCGCAGGAGAAAATCTAAGCTGGAAAGCACCATGTTTGCCGATGCGATCACGCGTTTTTGCACCGAACTTGAAGCAATTAAATCGTTAACGGCATGAATGGGTGTTGCTTCGCACTTACCTTGTGCACTCACTGCCGTAAATCATCGCAAATTTTGCATAAAAGGAAATTTCCGTTTGGCGGTCCTTCTTCAAAAATGTCCTCGCTGTTCAGTGAGCAATTTTTTTGCTAAAAATTCAAGTGCCCATACAAGTGAACTGTGTATAAATGCAGGCTAAATTTGAAACCTTTAAGATGAATTTGGGCAGAAAATATTCTTCCAAAGTTTTAGCCTTCCAGATTTTCTGGTTATCGAGTTAGCATTTCTCCTGCCAGAGCCTCCACTCACTCGTGCGTGAGTACCACGCATACCGAGGGCTGAATTTGAAATCTCTACGTCGTATTTGGACAGCAAAGATTCTCCTAAAATCTCAGCTTTCAAGCTTTTCTGGTTACCGAGTTAGCAACTATCCCAACAAACATTACACATGCCCGTATTTGCTAACTACGAGTAACTGGGGCTGAATTTGAAATCTTTAGCTCATTCATGCACAGAGAATACCCCTGCAAAGTTTCAGCTTTTTATTTTGTCTAGTTTGCGAAGTCGTTCCCCGCCAAAGAAATCTGCATATATCGTACGCGAGATCTAAGCGCCTTTGAGCAAGGATTTTAGAACGGAAAATTTCATCGGGTGGGAATAAGACCCCAAAATTTCAGACTCCCTGCTTTCCTGGCTGCTGATATTTGAAAGAGAGCGACAAAGTTCACTCGATCCCAAACACACAAACACACACGGACTACCTCTCGACAATTATGCGATATTGCTCGCTGCAGCGAAAACGCATGATCGTTAGCGATGCATGCCAGGTGGGCCCGAGCGATCATGCGTTTTTTCAGTTTTTTGCGTTGTTGTAAGATCGCTCGAAAACCCAGTAGATAGGACTTGTGACATACCAGCCCTCGAAGTGAATTGCGCAACAACGTGATATTTGGACAGGGAACATTTTGCTAAAATTTCAATTTTCCAACTTTTCTAATTCTCTTGTTAGCAATTTTCCCGCCAAAACTTTCACGGGCCCGTACACTATCTGTGGGCCTGACTGAGGGCTGGAATTTGATAATTTTAATTCGTACATGGACCGGGAAGATCTCCTTAAAATTTTAACCTCTCAGCTTTCCTGGTCCCCAAGTTAGCGATTTTCCCGCCAGGAACTTTCATGAATCCGTACAAGGGAACCACGCACCTGGAGGTTGGATTTGAAATCTTTGAGTTTTATGTGGACAGGGAACACAACACAAAATTTCAGCTTTCTCTGGTTCCCGAGTTAGCGATTTCCCATCCAAAACTTTCATCCTCTCGTGCGCAGGACCAACCAGTTGCGCGAAGATTAGTACCGCAGTGGCAAAACCTATCCAGGGGATCCACTGGCAAAATTTTGGGGCCGGAGCTTGCTTGGCTACCGAGCTGAAACATCCAGGTAGACGAACATACACACTTCGTCGCAATATGCTTTTTTATGCGTTTTTGCATATATGCAAATTGTAAAAACGCATAATGGGAAGAGGCTGTGTGTGTGTGTGTGTGTGTGTGTGTGTGTGTGTGTGTGTGT